CTAATACGAAATGAATAGATAGATAGATAGATAGATAGATAGATAGATAGATATGAACGGAATAACATAGATAGATAGATAGATAGATAGATAGATAGATAGATAGATAGATAGATAGATGTAAATAAGGAAGAAATGAAGATAGATATGTACAGAATGTGATAGATAGATAGATAGATAGATATGAACAGAATAAAATTGATAGATAGACAGATAGGTATGAACAGAATGTGATAGATAGTAAACAGACTGAGATAGATAGATAGATAGATAGATAGATAGATAGATAGATAGATAGATGCGAACAAGCTGAAATGAAGGTACCCCCACCCCCGTTTTCTGTTATCCATAAGCAAAAGCTTGTTAAGTTGTTTGCTGTTCATCTCGACAGACTGTTACCTCTAATGCCATGTGTATGCGTCAAATTCTCTAAGCCTTCTTTCTTTATTCTGTGAGCTTACGGCCGTATCACGTTGAAACTCCGGTTCACCAACATCGAGCTTTGGTAACCACTTGGAGATACCAGGCCCTGTGAGATGAGATGTAGAACCATGTAATGGATAATGGCAGGGAATTGTTAATCAGAAAGCCGAGTTCCAATTTCATTTGGGAAAGGTACGAATCCACTTCTTCAGCTATCGGTCAATTATTAAGACTAAAAAGAAATTCTTATAAAATAATAATGTTTTCTGGCTTTAAATAACCTGCAAATGTTGATAAGTCATGAAAAATGAATGAATCAATCAAATAATTATTTGGATTATAAATACCGTTTGTCTTAATAACGTTATCTTGAAGATTTAAGCTGATTGTGTATATTTTTTAATGTGTGACAATCAGTAGTAACCTCTGAGGTCATAAGTGGTTTGCCTAGGGAGAAATAATATAATATATATATATATATATATATATATATATATATATATATATATATATATATATATATATCAGGCTCAAACACTATATTCCATGCTTATAATTTATTACATTGGAATCATAATCACGATCCAATTCATCAGATCTACAAATTCAAAATTTTGAATGGAATATTCGTGTTTGAGCCTTTTATATTATATTCTCACATTTTCCTGAACATTGAGTTCTACCTGGATTCTATCCTCTTGGAAATATATATATATATATATATATATATATATATTAATGCACCTAGTCTAGAAGCATCCTCAACAGAATGCAGAAAACACTCGATGGCCGTTTAGTCATATTTTGGGGACTCATCAGCAGTGCGTATACACTACTGAGGTTCGAACCCGAACCGATTACGATACAACGCAAGGGTCATACCAGCAGTAACAACGGGCCTCGGTGACGAAGAAGAAACTAAATACTCTTTATATAGCACTGCTACTTATAAATTTCCCAATATAGGACGAAACGGCCGTCCATCGTTTTTTTTGCATTCTGTTGAGGATTCTTCTAGACTCGATGAATTACTATAATGATTTTCCTAAATCCCCAAAATTCTATTAGTTATATATATATATATATATATATATATATATATATATATATATATATACATATATATATATGATAGTAATAATCTTATAAATATAACAAATTATACTCGTCCGGAAAACCTTGGGTACTTTGATATGTAAATAAACAGACCAATACCCAAGGGGAAAAAAAGATACAAAAAAAGAAAGAACAGAGAACATGTACGTCAGCCGAAGACAATCGTCTAGCATCCAAGTTCAGATTCCAAAAAAAAAAAACGATACGAGTATATATATATATATATATATATATATATATATATATATATATATATATATATATATATTTGTTTGAATAAAAAACAGACCACGTTAAGATTCCATGTAATAAGCTATTTCACCATAACCCCTTTTACAGGGTTCTGGATCATCAGACTTTACTTCCAAAAGCTGAAATGAAAAATGAAAAGAAATTCACACGTTTTTGACGGACCTCATCAAGTATACGCAAAGTTAACGAAGTGAGGAAGTGAAGTGGGAGAGAGGATATGAGTGTGTCATATGTATCATTTTAGTTTCTTATTTTAACCCCAGTGTGTCGGCTGGATGTTGCTCAAATTTAACGCGTCCCGTCTCTAGATATAGATGGCTAAGGGGTGAACGATAAGAACTACATTAAAGGAAGACGTTACAACAACCCCAATAAATTACACGACAGGTTTCATTCAAATTCTTAGACGCTGTCAGTTCGCGTTACTTTAACGTGCATATTTGGGAGGTTAAGGTTTGATAAATATCTAAATTTTTCAACAATCTACGAAGGAATTAATTTGAAATTCGGTGGAGTTTTGGGTATTTTCTATGAAACAGTCGATTGGAAAAATCCATAGACAGAACATTAAAGTAACGCGAACTGACAGCGTCTAAGAATTCATTTTTCATTTCAGCTTTTGGAAGTATAGTCTGATGATCCAGAATCCTGTTAAAGGGGTTATGGTGAAATAGCTTATCACATGGAATCTTAACGTGGTCTGTCTTTTATTCAAACATATCTGCTCTGAATTTTACATTGAGCTCTCTGGATATCATCCTCCTCGGATCTACCCATACGGATTACCTAAGTTAGCTTAAACTATATATATATATATATATATATATATGTGTGTGTGTGTGTGTGTGTGTGTGTGTGTGAAAAAATACATTGAAGTCAACAATCGTCAGGCCAAATTAAGGTGATGTGTGGAAGCGTTGTGTTTTTATTATGTTATCCTTATATTGAGACGGGTGTTTTTTTTCTGGATTTAATCAATGTAAAAACTGCCTAAATGTTTATTGGTTCCGAGCGCTTTCGACTAAAACACTTAACCAATTTCAAGTGTTAGCTTTTCATTATAATCCCATAATAAATTCTATATATTGATTTATTAAGCGCAGATTAGATGTGGGACAAGTCCGAGATTAAGGAACACCCAGACTGAACTCACTACTCAGTCGTAATTGACTTGAGTAAGACAAGCTTGTTAACCATTACACTACGTCGAATGTCTGTAATAAACTGTTTGAAAGCGATATTGCAAATAGCATAAAATTGCTGAAATTTGATAAATATTTTATTCCAGAAAATGGCCAGTACATTATGACCGTGTTGATAATGTTATTAAGTGTTGTTTCCTTTTTCATATTTGCACGCTTTTTTTTTTTTTTTTGCAGTAGGATGCACGCGTCGCATCCGTGCTCTCAATGGACATGCTGAGTATTGATATTTGGGACGAATCCAAGGTTGTATAAATGTGTCTGTATTCAGCGCCTCTGTATTTGCGTTCTTGTGCGCGTGCGCTTGATGTGTGCGCATGCGCGTGTGCGTATGTGGCGCCATTTTTATGGATGGACATTTTTTTTTAAGCAACCTCGTCTTGGTATGATGAAACGGTCCGAGTTGTTGTTCTAATTGAATTATTGCTTTTTCGCTATTTATTTAAACGAATCCTATACTTGGGGTGTATTTTGATGCCCGAAGGGCGAGGAGAGCGTACAGTGATAGAATGATTTATGTTCCCTTGGGATTAATAATGATTTTAATTTGTAAACGCATCTGTCTTACATAAACCTCTTTCTCCTTGCCACCTTCTTCAGGCTTTATTGAAATTCTTCCCCAAAGTATATGTCCTTCCTGTAACTACCGTAAAAATAAATAAACGCTAATTCAATAAAACGACTACTAAAAGAAATGTCAATTTGAAAACTAGCGTTTTTTTAGATAAAAAAAAAATGATAGCCGAATTTCAGTCACTGATTATTTATCAGATTAATGAATCGCTAATGAAGAAATTAGTTTAATAAATTACATAAGTTAATTACTGTTGTGGATTCCGAGATGAATTCGGTCTCCAATGAAGAACAAACGCAATAATTAAATATAAGAAATAAAATGCATTTACACAATCATACAAAGGTTAATACTGTTAGTAAATCCAGGAACACGGTTAGTAGCAAATACAGATAGATATATACAGTCTCGAAGTAGGACTTCCTTAGAGTCTACGTGCTTGTAACTGACTTCTACAAGAGGTTACCTCACTCTATCTCCGTTCGTATATTCTCTCACTATCTGTATATCCATGGTATCCTCTCTCACTGACTGTCTAACTCTGGGTATTTAACGGCAGCAATCCAAGTAACACTGGTAGAGTCCACTTATATGAAAAGGGGAGGACCCCATAACAATTACAAGGTAAAATAAATAAAACTTAATATCCACAAAAGGGAATCAATACCACTGAGTTTCAAGAGACAATCGGCTTTTCTTGGCGGTGTCAAATCTTCAGCAATTAAAAAATATAGCTTTTGGCATCAACAGGGCGACGTATATTTTTCTTCTATGTGCCATTTTCCTTCAGGGCGTTAGAGATTATGGCTTTCCTCATTTTTCTCTCTTTGAAGCTCTTAGTAATTTTTTTTCCTTTTTATCACTCCTAAACCCTGTTCTGCCATCCATTTCTACAAGCTCGCTAGGTAGCTTACGCGTTGTTTTCCTCGGTGCCTCTTGTCTTTAATCTATCCTGTGCATCAATTTTTCCAAATCATCTTCCCTCATTATGTACCCGAGAAATCCGTTCCTGGAGTATAAGTGCCTACTTTGCTTCCATTTTCTCTAAAACTTCGTTATTCACATGTTCGGTCCATGGTATTTTCACTATCCTTGCATGAAACCCCATTTCTGTTAATTCAAGGCTCTTCTTCTGGGAGGAGATTGTCCAGCATTCACTGCTATTTAGGGGTCTGGTATTACATAACCGGTTAGGACTCTTTTCTTTATTTGTAACGATTTTTTTATGTTTCTTAATAGTTTGCTTAGCTTTTGCAAGGCATCATTCGCTATCCCATTGTGCATTCGGAGTTTAGTGGCGCACTTTCCGTCTTCGGATAAGACACTTCTCTTATATTTATATTGTTGTACTTTTTTGATTTTGGCATCTCCAATTTGTAATTCGCATGCTAGGCTGTCCCTTTTGCTAACAACCAAGTATTTACTCTTTTCGCAATTGATGAGTAGTCCTTTCTTTTTTCTTTCCTTCCCTACCCTACGTAGGAGTTCCTGTGGTTTATTTTCTGTGTTCGTTATCAAACAAAAATAACAAAATATGAACCTCGGACAGATTATTCATAACTTGGAGTCTAATATAAAACACCTTATGCGTAAATTGCAAACATACAGTAAAAAAAAACTTAAACAGTTGGTTCTTTTTAACAAACTTGTTTGAATGAATACCTGCTGTGTAAATATATATTATATATATGGCCCACTGGATAAAACGTTGGTTAGATCCAGTGAATACAGCCAAAGAGTTG